ACAACTCGGCAATGAGGACGAAATTGGAAAAATTTCTGAAGTCAGGTCTGTATACGTTTCAAAATATTCAGTTGAATTCTTTTTAAGCTTTTTGAAAAGCTTCATCAATAAACATACATCGATGTTGTAGGTCAGAGGCAATTTCATAAATATCTGTAGCTTCCCCCATCATAGAATTCAGGGCTACAAATAATGGCCCTAAATGCTTCTTCGTCTGGGTTCTTATAGAGCAATATAACACAGTAGAGACACAGCAGCATTACCTAACATATGCTCTGTTTTACGACGTGCTTGTGTTGCTAGTGTGGGAAGTGGCGAGAACACCGTCAGAAGCGAAGCTCACTCGCCTCTTGTATTCTTTTGGTTTTGATTTGCTGTGGGAAGCAGCGCCACCATCGGCAGAAGCGAAGCTCACGCTTCTTTTGCATTCTTTTGGCTGGGACTCTAGGCGAGAAGTGGCTTCTCCTTCTTCAGAAACAAAACTGACGCGTCTCTTATCTTCCTGGGGCTGTGAATCTATCTGACGAAGGTAGTGACGAAGAACCGCAACCATTTTTGTCTCAGTTCGAGTAAACAATGACTTCGCTCCATCCGATAAAAATTTCGATAAAGTGTCATTCAGTGTTATGTTGGCTGCGTGAGTCTCCCTCAAGTGCCAGACATCAGGTAAGTACTTATATAATTCCTTTACACCAAGACGTTTTTTAGGTTTGGGCTCCAGGAGGCGACGTAGAAGGCGAAGAAGGCGAGGAGTGAAGCACCGGAAGCGTGGTGGCATCTTCGTGGTCTTACGCTTTAGCCAGGCCACCCAGGAGTTGTAGTGGCGGTCTGTGATATCTGCAGAAGACCAAGGATATGAACCAGTCAGGCACACGAAGATGAGGATGCCAAGTTGCCAGGCATCCTGGCTTCTGTGGACGTGGTAACCCTCGTTATACACGGCCACACTCACTTCTGGTGGCGCCCAGGGTGACCCAACCTTCAACTTCTTCACCAGTGTTCCCTCTTGCTGGGTCTTGCTGAAGCAGCCCAATTTGACTAGCGAAAATTTTCGATCAAATACGAAGATGTTTTCTGTGCAGATATCACTGTGAACCAGGTCTCTCTCGTGCATAAACTCCAGAGCTTGAGCGATTTGCTTCACTACAGTCTTCGTCCCTAGTTCCCCCATGCCGCCTCTCCTGACAAACTCTGATAAATGACCCAGTTTAGACAGCTCTTGTACTAAGACGTAGGAAGTTTCTGTTTCGAAGACTTGGTCAAAACACTTGTAAATATTGCTATGAAAACTAAGCAAGGAGTTGTAATAGAACTCTTGAAGGAAATCCTTCTTCTTGATGGCGTCCTTCTGCACACTCTTGAGAGCCACGCTGCTGGAGTCAGACTCCAGACATCTAGCGCTGAAGACTTTAATGCTACCATTCTCCTTCAGGAGTCGTACTTCAGCGAACTGACGATCAATCTCCAGCTTCGGCAACTCCACTGTCTGGGGGCCACGGATGCTGCTGCTCCTCCTCACCTCATCCATCTCTGAAAAATTCAGTTCATTAGATTGTGTTCCAAATATATGTGTCAGACCTCGTCTAAGCAAAACACTAAGCAAGTTCTAATGTACTTCGCCACCATATTATTTTCCTGTAAACATTATGTTGATACACATAACATCGATACTTATGCTAAAATCTCATTCAATAAACTTACTTTTTACCCTCGAATAAATTTTACGAGTAACTATGAGTACTAAAAGTTTAAGAAGTTGATAGTATTCAAACTTGGTACAAACTACATGCACACTGCTGAACACTAAGCAGAGGTTGCAGTTGCAACTTCTCTGAGCTGCGTCTGTGTTGCTTCTGTCGTCAGGGCGAGGCGCCTGTGAGGGTTATATCTCTACCTACCTTGATGTCACCGAGAAATTTTCGTTTACGAGGTACCAAGACTCAAGATCGTTTCCCAAAACGCTCACGGTAGCGCCCCTAATTTCTACTTCCTGGTAACTATATGGTGAAGCACCGATTTCTCCTCTGGGTGAATCACGTTATAACCCAATGGTAGTACCTTCGGCTCACAACCGATGAAGCGGGTTTAACCCTGAAGACAATAGACAATGTTCTCTTTACACCTGCTGCCCCTGTCTACCTACCAGTAAATAGGTACCTCTATTCTAGTCGACAGTTGTGGGTCACATCTTAAGGAATAATTAATATACTTTTGTTGGCACTACGCAAATAACCCGAACATAGGAGAACATTATGACGATGTTTTGGTCCAAATCGCACCGAAACGTTGCTAAACGCGCGGGTTGTTTGTGTATTGTTCCAGTGACGGTATAGTACCTTACTATTCTTTACCTTTTATAGCATACTATTATACAGAATGGATATAAATGTACTGGAAAACGTACAAAGGAGAATGACAAAGTTGATCCCATGCATCAGAAATCTTCCCTATGAGGATAGACTGAGGCCCTGAATCTGCACTCTCTAGAAAGGCGTAGAATTAGTTGGGATGTGATTGAGGTGTAAATGAAAACAGGAATTAATAAAGAGGATGTAAATAGCGTGCAAAAAATATCTAGCCTAGACTGGACTCGTAGCAATGGCTTTAAATTGGAAAAAATCAGATTCAGGAAGGATATAGGAACGCACTGGTTTGGTAACAGAGTTGTGGATGAGTGGAACAAACTCCCGAGTACCGTCATAGAAGCTAAAACGTTGTGTAGTTTTAAAAATAGGTTGGATAAATACATGAGTGGGTGTGGGTGGGTGTGAGTTGGACCTGACTAGTTTGTGCTACTAGGTCGGATGCCGTGCCCCTCCCTTAAGTGACGCGTCTGACCTCACTATAAGAACATAAAAAAGAAAGAACACTGCAGCAGGCCTACTGGCCCATGCGAGGCAGGTCCAATTCTCCTACCGGCTTACAATTAAAGGTATTGTATATTTTATGCAGTACTTTATTATGTATGTTTTTATACCATGTAAGTGAGGCGCGGGGTCATCCCTTCTTTATGAACTTCCTTGTTGACTCATTAGGGAAAAGATTTCGTTGAACTGCGGGATGCTAGTTCGGGTAACAGAGACTGTTTATTGTTTAGGGTCATAAGTAGGGGAAAAGAACAGGAGGGTAAACACATCACAAGTGTCTTTCGGTTCAGTGAACCTGTTGGTGTTGGTGCCAAGAGGGAAAATCTTCCAGGAATGGTGTCTGATGCACCTTTATCCACCCACTCTTCCCCTCAGTGTCCTTGTTACTATGCCCTCTATCTCTTTCTCTCTCTCTCTCTCTCTCTCTCTCTCTCTCTCTCTCTCTCTCTCTCTCTCTCTCTCTCTCTCTCTCTCTCTCTCTCTCTCTTTCTCCCATACTCAAGCAAATTTTCACACAGACACTCATAAAAGAACTGTTATTTAGAATTTACAGGACCTGCCCAGTATGGACCAATGAATCTGCTACAGTACTCCACCTTTCTTATATTAAGTTCTTATACACGATCATTCAAGAGAGATGAGGACACACTTAGGCTGGATGTTTCTCAGAAACAAAGCCGTCGTATTCTGTTATTGATGGAATACAACACCGCCAAGTTGAAGAATGAGACACTTATGTCTCACTTGAGACATGGAAACTCCCGTGGAAACCTCCAACGCATTCTCGGTGCTACCCGACGAATGTGAGTCGACTACTGGGATCGTCACGACGAACGACAACAAGGAAGGTAAGAATATTGTTGTTGTTGGGGATAGCCAGGTTAGATACATGGATAGGGCATTCTGCTTGAAGGACAGGAGTAGGAGACAAAGGGTATGCTTTCCTGGGGCTGGGATGGAGGACATTGTTAGCCGGCTTGACAACATCATGAACGGTAATGGGATCAATCCTATTATTTGCCTCAGTGCTGGAGGCAATGATGTAGGCAAGCGTAGAAGTGAGGATTTAGTTAGAAAGTTCAGGACAGCTATAGACATGATTAGGAAGAAGGGGGGCGCGCCTGTTATATGTGGCATTTTGCCAAGAAGAGGTGTTGGTAATGAATGGTTGTCCAGAGCAATTGGTATTAATTGTTGGCTGGATAAACACTGTAAGGATAATGCAGTACCATTCATTGACAACTGGGACAACTTCTATGGCCGAAATGACATGTATGCCAGGGATGGGTTCACTTATCCAGGGCAGGTGTGGGTTTTCTTGCTAACTCAGTTGAGGGGTGTTTAGGACTTTAAACTAGGATTAGTTAGAGGTATGGGTTTAGAAATGATTAATAATGAGTATGGATATATTGACTTATGCTCTGATATTAAGAATCTTAATAGTAACTGTCATGGAGTAACTCTGGGTAATGATAATTTCAGAAATTGTGTAAAAACAAAGATGAATAGGAAAAATGTGCAGAAGAAAAAACATATGATGGTATTTTATGCTAACAGTCGAAGTGCAAGAAATAAAATTAATGAACTACGTTTGGTAGCATGTGCTGGGAATTTTGATATCATTGCATTAACTGAAACGTGGTATGATTTAAAGAGTCGGGAATATGACTGCTGAGTGTAATATTCAGGGATTTAAGTTATTCAATGTGGATAGATGTAATGGGAAGGGGGGAGGAGTTGCATTGTATGTTCGAGAAAATATTAATTGTTGCATAAAAACAGGTATAAAAATAGATGGAGCAGTAACAGAGTCTGTTTGGGTAGAGTTCGTGGAGGTCAAGAAAAACTAATTCTAGGTGTAATATACCGACCTCCAGGCTTGGATCACGATAGAGGGAGACTTCTTTGGGACGAAATTGTTAGGGCTTCTGGACACAGTAACGTAGTCATAGTAGGGGACTTTAACTTTAGCCAAATTGACTGGAATTCTTTGACAGGTAATCTAGAGTCCGTGACTTCATGGAAACAGTTCAGGACTGTTTTCTGAAACAGAGTGTAACTGAGCCTACCAGGGGTAATAATTTGCTAGACCTAGTTTTGTCAAATAAGGAAACACTCGTGAATAATCTGGAGATCACTGAAGAGCTTGGCACAAGTGATCACAAATCCATCACCTTTAGCATTAATTGGGAATGCAAGAATAATGATAATACAGTAGAAATCCCCGATTTTCGTTCTGCCGATTATAATGGACTTAGGGAACATCTGTCTAATCTTGATTGGGGTTATCTAGCTAATGATTTTATTGACGATAATCATACTTATGAATATGAAGGGATCTGCTTTTATGATTGTTTTCTTAATAATGTACACAGTGCCCAGAGTATATACATTCCCCAGAGAGAAATTAGGTCTAATAATAACGATCCCAAATGGGTTAACAGGAGGCTAAAGCATCTATTAGGGGGGAAAAGGGGAATTTATAGGCGCATCAGAAGAGGAGAGGTTAACCTTACTGACCAATATGTTCAGCTTAAAAGAGAAGTAAAAAAGGCGATTAGAAAGGCTAAACGTGACTATGAAATTAGAGTTGCTAATGAATCAAAGACTAATCCAAAGGGGTTCTTTCAAGTGTATAGGACGAAGGTGAAGGAAAAAGTAGGACCTCTGAAAACTGGGAATGGACAGCTGACGGATAATGAACTAGAAATGTGTTCCTTATTTAATGACTATTTTTTGTCAGTTTTTAAAACAGGAAGATGTAAATTTAGATTCCAGTAATTAACAATTATTTAGTTCCTGATGAATTTAAGTTAACTAATATTACTGTCACGAGGGACATGGTTATTAAACAGATAGACAAACTGAAACAAAATAAGTCCCCTGGACCCGATGAGTTGTTTTTTAAGGTACTTAAGGAATGCAAGATGGAGCTTAGTCAGCCATTAACGAGTGTATTCAATGCGTCCATCCTTACCAGTGTTGTGCCAGAGATGTGGAAGATAGCTAATGTGGTTCCTATATTCAAATCAGGGGATAAGTCCACTCCTTCAAATTACCGTCCAATAAGCCTGACATCTATAGTGGGCAAGTTATTAGAATCAATTATAGCTGACATTATCAGAAGTCACCTTGAAGAGCATAACTTGATAAATGAATCTCAGCATGGATTCACGAGAGGTCGTTCCTGCCTGACAAACTTACTGACGTTCTTCAATAGAACATTTGAGGCAGTTGACAGTGATAAGGAATATGATATTGTTTTATTTGGATTTTAGTAAAGCCTTCGACAGAGTACCTCACAAGAGACTCTTAAGAAAAGTGGCAGCTCATGGTATAGGAGGTAAAGTCTAGCATGGATTGAGGCATGGCTTACCAAAAGAAAGCAGAGAGGGTTTCCATTAATGGAGTGAAATCTGAATGGGGATTAGTCACTAGTGGCGTTCCACAAGGATCATTTTTAGGCCTCTACTGTTCATAATTTACATTAATGACCTTGATGAAGGGATTACTATGACATGAGTAAGTTTGCTGATGATACAAAGATAGGCCGTAAAATTCACTCTGAGGAGGATATCAATGAACTCCAGGCGATTTGAACAAATTAATGTCTTGGTCTGAAAAATGGCAGATGAAGTTTAATGTGGATAAGTGTAAGGTACTTCCCCTTGGTAATGAAAATAACCATCGAAGCTATAATCTAGGTGAAGTAGAGCTTGGTCATACAGAATGTGAAAAAGACTTGGGAGTCATGGTAAGCAGAAATCTAAAGCCAAGACAGCAGTGCCTTAATGTGCGCAACAAGGCCAACAGATTACTTGGATTATCTCAAGAAGTATAAGTAACAGAAGTCCAAAAGTTATTTTACAGCTCTATACATCACTAGTGAGGCCTCATTTAGATTATGCTGCTCAGTT